ATTGGAAAACACATATAGTATATCAGATATTTACTTTATTATTCATAACAGTAGCAAAATTACAGTTATGAAGTAGCAACGAAAATAATTTTATGGTTGGGGGTCACCACAACATGAAGAACTGTATTAAAGGGTCGTGGCATTAGGGAGGTTGAGAACCACTGTTCTACAGTAAAAGAACTCTTGATTTAAAGCCGAGGATGTGGCAATCAAAACACTAAGGTTGAACCATAAGAATTTGATTGTGTTGTAGGACAAATAAATAGCAATGCCATGATTTAACTTAATGTGTTCCTTAGGCTCCATAGTTAGCAGTCAGATTTGCCCATGTGGTTATTACCAATAGACACGAGTGACATTGATGTAAACAACTTCCACATCATGTTTGTAAAGGTGTGCCTTCCCTTTCCCCTCTTCCTCTTCCTATTAGCTAGAATGCTGACATGATGGTGAGCCAACTTGGACAGTGCAAAAAAGAGCCTATCCTAAAGATGGCAAAGTCACCAAATAGGAGTCTGAGTTCCTGATGGCTTTACTACTGAGCAGAGCCACCTTCTCCACTCAAACTGAACTGCAGGGAAAATACAATTCTGTTTTGTGTAAGTCATTTTATTTTGGGTCTCAGTTATATTCAACTAAACCTATATCCTAACTCTGTAGTTATCAAAGTATAGTTTGTAATGACTTGGAATATCAAGTCCTTTCAGCAGGTCTTCAAGGTCAAAATGATTTTTATACTTCAAAGATAGTATTTGTGTTTCTTCTCATGGTGACATTAACACTAATGTTGAAGAGCAATGGTAAGTAAAACTGGTAGCATGTTAGCTTGAATAAAGGAAGTGCCCCAAACCTCCATTTACATTATTATTTTTCACACATTACATTCACAGGAAAATATACTAGTTTCATTTTAGAATGTTTGTGATAAGGCAGTAAGAGCATAATTTTTATTATCTCAACTCTGAAATACATGTATTTTTAATATTTTACATGAGCATATATAAAGGACTTCTGATAGTAAAATATGCTGAGAATTTAAAAGAAATTCTTGAAATGCTTGTTTGAGTTGCAAGCTGAACTAGCCACTTTTTTCATGGAACACCATCTTTACTTGAAGGAACAATGAACTGATTATGTTCATTTAGATTGGCAGACATTTTCCTAGAAATGAATAAAGCAA